GTGGAGAAGGGAGGCTTTCAGGTATCTTAATACAAGGAGCAAGAGTATAGAATCTTTCCAGCCTAGTCGAGCTGAATTTCCAATCTAAAATGCAAGCTTTTTTTAACACCTTTTGTCAGAGGATGTAGAAGAAAAAATGTTTGCAGCCTTAATTTTCCATATTAAAAAGTAAAAAAGGCTTCTTTTTTTTGTGTGTGTGTGTGCAGGTCACCTTTAAATAAAGTTTTTAAAGGCATTACTGTGAGGCCTGGAAAAACAACTGGATAATAAACTAGGTAACTTTTTAGATATTAGTGCCCCTGACCACAGCTCAAAATCTACGTACCACAAAGAAGAAGGCTGAGTTTGTCAGGGTGGGTTGATTAAAGTGCCTTAAATTAGTAAGGAGGAGATCTTGATTTAAATATTTTTTCCAGTTGTACTTTTTAGTTATTTTCCTAGAGAAAGGTTGATTCTTGTTGGTTGGTAACCATTAAAACATGTTAATTTATAACTTTATATAAGCATATATATAAGCCATGTCTACACTACAGACTTTGGTCAACGCAAGTTATGTCGGCATAAAGCCGCTCTTAGTATATCATTTGTATGCATGCACACTTGGCTCCTTGCGTTGGTGCTGCACATGCTTACCAGGAGTGCATGTGGCGATGCATAGTGTGGTGAACCGTGGATAGGTATCCCAATGTTTGACCTGCTACTGGCACTGTCTTTTGGGAAGTTTTGGCAATGCAGGATGGGACAGAAATGTGCCGCACAGGGGTGTGTGGGAGCAAGGAGTCAACTTCCCAGCATGCAACTGTCTCCATCTCATAATGTCATCTATATCCCATAATTTTTGCACCTTTTAAAAAAAATCCCACGGACCTGCACAGACTTTCTCACTGTCCACCATCTCTGACAGAAGCATGGTGCCTGCACAGCTCTGCACTATTGTCATAAGCGTTGCACGCATAGGACGTGCAATTCTGTGGTATTTGCAGAGCCATAAGAAGAACCAAATTGGTGTGGAATATGACGATTTCTTGGATGACAGATTGCTGTGGGGCATAGCGAGGACCAATTCAAAGTCGGTGGTGTTCGCGGAGCCGCTGCCAATATAGAGCTCCGCCTCTGGGTTTGAGAAACAAACACTGACTGTTGGGATTGCATAGAAATGCAGGCTTGGGGTGATGAGCATTGGCTGCTGAACTTTTGCATATGGAAAGCCACATTCCTGGATCTGTGTGCCAAGTTTGCTCCAGCCCTCCAGGACAGGGACACCAGAATGAGAGCTTCATTGACAGTGGAAAAGCAAATGGTGATTGTAGTGTAGAAACTTGCAGTGTTGGATTGCTACTGGTCAGTGGGAAATCATTTTGGAGTTATAAAAGCCACTATGGGGGCCGTTGTCATGTAAGCGTACAAGACCATTAATTGTCTCCTGCTATGCAGGACTGTGACTCTCAGCAATGTGCAGGACATAGTGGAAGGATTTGCAGTAATGGAGTTCCTGAACTGTGTGGTGTAGCGATAGATAGCATGCCTCTTCCCCACAGAGTACATCAACAGAAAGACAGAAATGGCTACTTTTCTCTGGTTATGCAAGTATTGGTGGATCACTGGGGATGTTTCACCGACATCAGTGTTGACTGGTTAGGGATGCTCGCATCTTTAAGAACACAGGACTGTTTGGAAAGCTACAACCAGGGACTTCCTTTCCCAACCAGCAGATTACTATGGTCGTTGTTTACCTGTCAGTAGGGATCCTGGGCAACCCAACCCACCCTTGCACCCTCTGGCTCATGAAGCCATACAGCTGCCACTTTGGCAGCACCAAGGAAAGATTCAGCTACCAGTTGAGCAGGTGCAGAATGACATTGATTGCATTTTTGGTAGATGGAAGGGACGCTAGTGTTGTTTATTCACAAAGATTGGATCTCAGTGAAAAAACATCCCAATGGCTATAGCTGCCTACTGTGTCCTGCATAATATCTGTGAAGCGAAGGGGAAAAGTTGCTGTCAGGGTGGAGGGCAGAGGTGGAGTGGCTGTCTGCTGAGTTTGATCAGCCAGACAAAAGGACTATTGGAAGAACTCAGGTGAGGAGCTAGGTGGTTCAGGAAGGCTTTGAAAGAGCACTTCAACAGCAAGCCACAGTAATGCATTCTGGTGTACTACGCTCTACCTTGCTGTGTTGTTTTGGGGCCTGTAAGAAATTGTGTGGTGCTTATACATCTGACTGTACCACTATCAGTGCACCTATTCATTTTCCTGTGTTTCCTGCACATTTATGATTATTACACTGTTAACTGATCCTGTGAATTGTCACAGTTTAGTAAGTGGGTTCAGAACTGCTAGGCGCTCTGCAGCATATGTTATGAACTAAAAGATTACTTGTTTTCCAGATAATAGAATTTTATTCAGTAACAAAACCAATGCAAAAAATAAAATCTGTGTAACTTAAAAGTAAATACATTAAAAACTACTATATTACTGGAACAGAACTTAATGAGGAGAAAGAATATTCATGTACATTTTACCTACACATACACTGACCTGTGAAAGCCATGGTTGCTGTATGTGAAGTTGTGGTTGTTCTTAATGTCCCCCTGATGCCACGTGGAATGTTGGAGGGGAAGGGTGTAGGTAGGTGCCTTAATGCAGTTCTACATGGACTGCAAAGGGAGGCGAGCCGATGACTGTTGAACTGAGATTCTACAAGAGTTTGCATTATCTGTGTTTGCTGCTAGAGAAGCCCCATTATGTCCTGTGCATCTCACTCTTCTTTTCCTGCAGGGACTCTTGGGCCTTTCTCTGTCTGCTCTTTCTTTCTCCAGGCTGTCTGCTGCGTTGACCCTCCAGACCTTTTGCTCATGGTCTGTCGCAGCATTGGCTTGCAGGATCTTATTGAACATGTCATCCCGATTCCTCCTCTTTTTCTTCCTTACTTGTCTCAGGTGTGAAGGGGAAATCCCTTAAGGCTGCTACCGCAGCAGGTGCAAATAAAACAAACAGGTACCATGTTCGCATAGTCACAACGAAAAGTGAAATGTAATATTCATTACTCCCTTCCATCGCTTCCCTACAGTTTTCAACAAAATATGCTTATTGACACTTCTGCTTCTGAGTGCTTGTGCACAGTGCCACTCACAGCAGCTGTGGTGAGTATAGCCCACCAGGGGTGAGGGAAATGAGTCAGGAATTGCTCAGTTGCCTGAAACTGAGTATAGGGCAACAAAAATGAATATATTGGCACCTCCAGAGGATGGTGATTTTAGCTGATACCCTCACTTCTGAGGATAACAAAGGCAGAGAGAGCACAGCTGCTGCTGGCATCCTGAAGCCGCCTAGTCCTGTATGCTGCTAGCCTAGGTACTGCAATAGTTCCTGCCAAAGTTATCGCTGACTGGCATGGGAAAATGTCGTACTATGGAGGAAGAAATAAGGCTGCCATCCCTAGAAATCTCTGGAAGAGGATTACAGAGCACCTCCATGAAAGTTCCATTGAGACCTCTCAGAAGGATTCAGTGGACGTCCTTGTACAGAGGCTCCCTGACTTACGCAAGTGTTCGGATCTGGAACGCCTTGCGTAACTCGAATTTTCCGTAAGTCGGAAACGTATATCCTACCATTACGCCTCCTCCCCCCCTCGCCTCCCCCCCCCCCCCAAAAAAAAAGAAAAGGAAAACCTCCTATTTCTACCTTACAAACTTTTTCCGTAAACTCGGATTTGCGTATGTTGGGTTTATCTAACTCGGGGAGCGTCTGTATAAATAAGCTGCTTTTCATGACACCCCCCCTTGCCTAACTCTACAGAGAAATGAAAAGCAGATAAGTGCTACCTCCTTTGTTGTACCGCTACCTCTTCTAGTACAAGTAAATTAATGAAAAGTCATTAACTGTCCTGTTAAGTTGGTTGCACCATCCCTGTAATGGGAAATAAATTTACACACTTACCTGAGATTCTGTCCCCTGCATCAGGCTCACCTGTGCTCCACTGATTGGACTGTGGTGGAGCCTCAAACAGGTCCTGGCTCACAGCATAGGCCAGGGGTTCTCAGACTTTTGTACTGGTGACCCCTTTCACACAGCAAGCCTCTGAGTGCGACCCCCCCCCCTTATACATTAAAAACACTTTTTTATATATTTAACACCATTATAAATGCTGGAGGCAAAACTGGGTTTGGGGTGGAGGCTGACAGCTTGCGATCCCCCATGTAATAACCTCGCAACCCCCTGAGGGGTCCCGACCCCCAGTTTGAGAACCCCTGGAATAGGCATATCCCCTCAACTCCCCAGTCACATGTTCTCTGTCCTCTTCGTCTTTGCCATTCATGCCAGGGGCCTGTGACTCGGGCTTCTCAGAGGTATCCATGTTGGCCTGTGGGGGTGTGGAGGTCTCCACCAAGTATGGCATGTGGTTCTTCGTAAAAGTATTAGGTCTGCAGGCTGATATCAGATTGCCTGTCAGCCTCCCTGGCATTTTGATACACCTGACGCAGTTCCTCTGCTTTCACTTGACAAGGATGCTGGTCCCTTTTATACCCCTTCTGCATCCTCCATGCAATCTGCTCGTAGATGTCCACGTTTATGTTTCTGCGCTGCAGCTGTGCTTGTGTAGTCTCTTCTCCTCACAGGCCCAGGACATCCACTGTCTCCTGTCTACTCCAAGCCAGAGCATGTCTAGAGCGTGTAGCCAGTATGGTCAACTGGCTATTTATTACAGCTATTTAAGGATGAAGGAAGATACTATTTAACAATAATATAAAGGAATACAGTGTGTTGAAATGGAAAAGAGAATTTATCCAAGTACATGGGGTAGTCAGGAAGGCATGTTGTTTTCTCTGCTGCAGCCAAGTAGCATACGTCTGTGCGTTCTGTCTTCCAAGAAACTTTGTAGACTGCACAGAAATAAGTACAGAAGGAAGTTTCACTTTTTACCTTAGAATGAACATATGATGTGATTGATTAAACTAGTGCCAAATAAGAAGAAAAATAGTTATTTTTCTCTCTCTCTCAGGTTTGTAAATACTACCTTTGTGGGTTTTGTCCAGCTGAATTATTTACAAATACCCGTTCTGACTTAGGTAAGTGTTCCGTTTGTGTGTGTGTGTGTGGGGTGTGTGTGTTTCATTCACTGTCATTAAAATTAAATTTAAGATAGTCATCTGATAACCCCCTCCTGCTTCCAGATTAGTAGTTACGACTGACCTTTTCTCTGACATGGGATATTCATTTTCTTTAGTGTGTATTCTGTCAACACATTGTAAAACTATTTTTTTCCGGTCTGCCAGTAACTTGATTTCAGCAATAGCAATGTTGATATAATATCATGGATAGACTGCATAACCAACGAAAAAGTATTGGAGATTATTGGAACTCAGCAAAATCTAGTCAGATCTTATGAAAAGAGAGATTCAATTTGCAGGGTACATTTTCAGAAGTTCAGCAGGCAGTGCATGTTTATGGGCACTGGAAAGTAAAAAGGTGATGGCAGAAAAACACAAGGCAGAAAAAGAAGATCTTGGATGGCTGATGTGGTATCCTGGGTGGGTCAAAAGGACTATTCATCCACCAAGAGATTAGCAGAGGACCATGCAGAAAGGGCTACAATGGTTGTAAATCTCCAGTAATGGCCACACCACAGCAGAAGAAGATTTTTACAACACTTGCTCCATCTCAACCCTTTCCCCACAACCAATATAAAATTAGGCTATGTTTACACAGGAAAGGAGTGTGTGAACCCCCTTTCCTCCCAAGTATAACCTAAAACTCCACAAGTGGGATACTCTTATTCTCATGTAAGAGTGTCTTTTATTTTTATTTATTGGTTTAGCTTATAATGATTGAAAAGGGGATTAAGCTAAACTGAAAAGACATTTATACCAGAATAAAACTATCCAAATCAGGGGCGTTATCAATATAGCAGTAAAAATTTCCTGTGTAGATGAAGCTTTAGATGGAACCCTTATCTGCCTTTGTTCCTCTGATTCTAAACTTAAAATCAAATTCTTTGAATCAGCCAGTGCTTTATTGTAAAGTTAGACATCTGGCCAGATTTTTGGAGACCATAAATTACTCAAATGAAAATAAAAACTAGCCTTTTTTAAAAGAGCCTTAGAGAACTAGGCTATTTTAATCCTGCTAGGACATTTTTGAAAACGTTCTGAAACATGCTTTTATTTTGTGCTGGAGATTCAGTGAATTTCCATTCCATTTTACACGTGTTACAAAATTCCTATTTTTTCCTTTTGTTACTCTGAGAAATGTTACACCATTTTGGTATTCTTTTTTAAGATAAATTTAAAAAAAAGTTCCAAACAAGTGAGTGAAAATGTAGGTACAAAAGGCCAGTTTACGGAGAGCTTCATAAAAATTCATCAGCTTCACCTTTATGCTTTCCTGAGTCTCTTTAGAAATGTTTCCTGTATCATGGTTAAGGTTAAGATGGATATTTTTAGTAAAAGTCAGGAACAGGTCACAGATAATAAACAAAAATTCATGGAAGCCTGCGACCTGTCCTTGACTTTTACTAAAAATAGTCATGGGGTGGATTGGACAAACAGCACTGCCGGGGGCTTACAACTCCTCCAGTCCCACCGCTGCTCCTGCAGCAGGGACTGACCGCCACTGCTCCAGCCCTATGGGTGCTGACCCAACCCCAGCCACTTCTTCAGCCCTGGTGCCGCTGCAGATAGCTGCTCCCATCCTGCTGCAGAAGAAGTCACAGAGATCCTGGAAAGTCTCAGAATCCGTAACAGAATCATATCCTTAATCATGGTGCTCCCAGTTAACTGACTGGTTTGATAACCTACAGTGCTTAATGTAATTAGATACAAAGGGCTAGATTCCCAAAGAAACTTGGGCATAGCAATGGTTAGCATCACCATGCTTAACTTTTAGGCGCCTAGAAAATCACTGGGATTCACAAAAGCCTGAGTTAGGGCATGTAGGCTCCCTTTAGGAGGCACCTCAGAATGGGATTGACAGAAGCCAGCATGTTCTGCATCTCCCCCAAAGCTATCCGATAGGAGATGCCAAAGTAAAGGGTATGTCCTAAGCCCTATCCCTCTCAAGGAGTACTATACCTTAGTCCAGGCTAGAAAGAGATGCCTCCCTCTGCTTGGGATTCTCAGCTACAAACTCTCTCTTGGAATTAGGTGTCTATGCTGTTTTTGCAAGAAGGTCAGGAGGACCTCCCTCATACTTCTAGCCCAACGTTTAGGAAGCTTACCTGGGATGTGGGAGACTGTTGCTTCAAGTCCCCTCTTGGCCTGAGTGGGAGAATGTATTTGAACAGAGCTCTGCCACTTCTCAGGTGAATGCACTAACCACTGAGCTCTGGAATATTCCAATATGATGATTCCTTAATCTGTACTGTGAAACTGTTCCCCTGTGGATAAACAATAAATTCATTGAAGCAGGAGGACTGGATACTGAGTTACCCACTTCCCAGGTGAGTTCTGTAGCCACCAGACTACAGAATCATTTTCACGCTTGTGTGCACTTTTTCTCTCTCTCTTTGGCTCAGTAATTTGGCCCCTACAGGTTTTGGTGGCAGCTGAGCGGGGGTTTTGTGAATCCCAGTGGAGCCTGATTCTGGGATTTATGTGCCTACAGTGGCAGTTAGGTGCCTAAGTCTTTTTATGAACCTAGCCCCAAAAGCATGCTGACTAAATCCTCCAAAGTTTTAGTGTGGCTTTCCAGAGTGTGCGCTAAGTCTTGCCTTGCTTTATTTTTAGGTCCATGTGAAAAAATTCATGATGAAAATCTGCGTAAACAGTGAGTGTTTAAGTTGTTTTAGCATAAGTTAATGTAACAATTATAATGGTTTAATTTGTTCAAATTGGCGTTCATAAAACCAACAAGACAAGAAGAAAATAATAATTTAAGAGCAGCTTCATATATAAGCTGTAAATCATTTACCTTGTACTTTTCATTGTCCGTTTCTTTATGAAAATTAATTTAAAAAATCACAAAGTAATTTAAAAATTAATCATAGAAATGTAGTGCTTGAAGGGACTTTGAGGTCATCTAGTCCATTCCCCTGTTCTGAGGCAGCTCCAGTGTAATTTAAAAAGTTGTAATTTTTGCTGGAGCTGTTAAAGCATAGCAGTTTTTTACATGTTTGTCACACCTCTATATTACAGAATGACACATGATCATTCGGTAAAAAACGTTGTGTATTTTTATCAGATATGAGAAGAGCTCTCGTTTTATGAAAGTGGGCTATGAAAGAGACTTCTTGCGGTATTTACAGAGCTTACTTGCAGAGGTAGAACGGAGGATTCGAAGAGGGCATGCTCGTTTGGCACTGTCACAGAACCAGCAGTCATCAGGTGTAAGTAAAAGCCTACACTGAAGCAAATAATTGTTCTTCAAAGTGGACTCTGAATGTGGGATGTTCACTATAATGTGAATTTGCTGCTTTCCAGAAGGTTCTTATGCGATTTACATGTTACTGGTTACTGTGACCAGAAGAACTCCACTTCCCTTTTCTATAGATAACTGCAGCTTTTTTCTCTGCTCAGAATGATTTCTGTTCTCTCACATACTTCCCCTGTTCCTTTTATGTCGTTAAATAACTAATTAGCAGGGTAGTTGTTACTTAACAAGGGTGATGGACTTGCCTAATGGAAGGCTCTTCCTGTTACAAGTGCAATTAAAAATGCTATTTTTAACAACAAGAGTGAATTGCAGATTTTAATGGGTGAGCCTCCTTTCACTGTACTCCAGAGAGACAGTCAACCTGCATCCTTCTAAATTAATACCAAAAGTGAGGTCTGAGGTCTGCTTTGATAGGACTCTTAATTTCCTAATGTTTTTCACAAAATATTATTCTCAACCAAGGGAAGTCAAATTCAGTACCCTGGATGTCAGAGGAGATTTGCATTCCTATTTGGACAGGGCGTTTAGAAAATCAGTTAGGCCTGTTCTATACCTAAAACTTAGTTGACCTAGCTACATTGCTCATGGCTTTGAAAAATTTCACACCCTGTGCAACATTAGGTCAACCCATCCTCCACTGTAGATGCAGCTTGGTTGACAGAAGAATTCTTCCGTCAACCTAAGTACTGCCTCTTGGGGACAGATTTACTACAATAATGGAAAAAACCCTTTGTTGCTGTAGCAAGCATCTATGCTACAGTGATGTATCTGAGCACTGTTACTGTCTTGCTGTAACCTTTGTTCTGTAGACGTACCCTTACACTTTTTTATAGCTTTGGGGAATCGGTGTAAAGGGAATGCCATTGCCATTCAACTTATGTCTAAGTGGATTACCCTCTGTTTTACCTTGTTTTTGTTTTACATTAGCTAGGCTAATGTGTACCTAAGTGTCTTGGGACATTCTCTATTAGGCTCAAGGCAGTGTCAGTGGCATGCCTCCATAACATTTTTATCTTAGAAGTGTGTAGGGCTGCTAACTGGAGTTCTGATCAGATATTGACTCAGCACTGTTCTCTGAACTTGGCATCTACATATGATGCTTATTTTGGGGGGATAATTTGGTTCCACCTTCCTGGAAGCTGTACTCACTGTTCACGAGATTTCCCCAAATAAAAATACACAGAGTAAGAAGCATTTGAAGGACATTCTCTGCAGAGAGTGGTATATGGCTGTCAGCCAGGGGCTTAGCTCATGCTCCACCCTGCTGTTGCTGTTCTCAGGGGTCAAATGTTAAGAGTTAGGGGTATTTTGCCATTCTTGTGCTATCAAATTATAACTCATGAGTTACAATTGTGTGTGATGCCTTCAGAGAAACAGGATTATAGGTGAATAAATTTCCTTTTTCTCCCACTAAGTGAAAATACAGCATGTTACAGCACTTGGACTAGTCTGTACTTGGATCTACTCTATTTATCTGATACCAAGTATGTAATTATAGAGAAAAATATTAATAGGTGTGTAGTTTCTTAAAAACACACATTCTTAATCCTTTGATTAGGGACTGAATTTTTTTTTTTTTTAATATTTAGCAGGCAGCTGGACCTACTGGTAAAAATGAAGAGAAAATTCAGGTCTTAACTGACAAAATCGATGTACTTCTACAACAGGTAAAAGTCGCCTTCTAGCAGAACTATTAATCAAATGCTCAGATTATAAGATCCTGACAGGATTTTTATTCTCCTTTAGATTGAAGAATTGGGTTCTGAAGGAAAGGTGGAAGAGGCGCAAGGAATGATGAAACTTGTTGAACAGCTAAAAGAAGAGAGAGAGTTGCTGAGGTCTACAACTTCAGTAAGTAAAAGCTGTGCGGGCTCTGTTAGGGTTATTTCAAGGCTCAGTGCAAAAGCAGAACCTGACTGTATAGCCTTGCCCCTTATGTGGTTAGAGGATTTAAAAGTTACAACAATCCAGTTACTGCTTTCTTGTCGAATTTCTGTTTCTCACATTAAAATTTAACAGGCTGAAATCCTGCCCCTTATGAGAGCCCAGCCTGTATTTCACACAATGCATTCATTAATTTAAAACTCCTATTAGTCTTAGTCAATATCATGTACTTTGTTAGATAATTAAATCTTGGATTTAAATTGTAAACTCATTTAGATTAGTATTCTTTGCCAAAACTAAATTGGCGTTGGGAATTTATGAATAGGTATTGGTAATTTACAGAAGATGAAACATCAAAGATGCTTATATAGCTAAAAAATTAGAAAGTCAGAAAACTTATTCTAAGTTAACGTAAAAATGCAAGACCTCAGAAAATGAAGTGTTAAATTTTTTTGACAAGTTTCTAACATGCCCATCTTAGCATTGCTTGGGCCAAAACATCTTAAATTTGAGAATATTTTCAAGCCCTCTTCAGAAAAATGAAAACACTTGCATCCATCTTCAACTTGATCATGTATTGTTGATAGGCTAGTGAGCTAGTCACCTTCTTCTGTACCCACCTGGGGGCGTGTCACACACTTTAAGAAACACTCGTTGAGATCTTCATAATATGATGCTTCCTTTGTTTCCTGCATGCATCAAGGAGCAGTGAGATAGTTTAAAATGTTTGTATTTTAAATTATCAATGGCCATTTTAGTTGGCACCCACTGAAATGAATGAAGCAATTCACCTCTCATAGCTATCGTGCTGGCACTCTGAAAAGTCAGTCAGACATCACTGAATCAGTTAACCTTCAAAAACATGGCCAGAGTGTTTCTTCTGACCCATAACAGTTTAGAGACTTACTTTTTTTAAATGAAAACTGAGACTCTAAAGTAATTGAAGTTTGACTTCTGTCCATTGCCACCTCTGACCCTCCCCTACCCCACTAGTCCTTTTGCACCCCTCCAATGGGACACAAACCATTTTAAAGATTTTTAGCGGAAGTCAGAAATCCTGCTTGTAATGGAAATATGGCTACAACCTTTATTGTGGTGAAGACACTTAACTCTCCATAACTGAGAACTTTCTTGCTAGCAATGATTAGTAAACCAGAGTCTGTTCAAGGATCTTTAGGTTCCTGGCTGTCAGCAGCTTCTCTTCTTTAAATCTCCCCCATGACTGACACTTCTCAGGGAGTTTCTCAATAGATAATCTCTTGCTTTTCTCTGTAATTATCTTCTGAGCTACTAGACTACTTGATTCCTGGAAGCTCACATGTTTAAAGCTGGACCCGATTAGAAACGGTTCTAGCACCAGAAAGAAATTAGAGGAGATATTTCCTCTAGCTTGTATTTGAAAACAACAAAAGCAGTTAATTTTTCATAAGTCTTCCTTGTGTGATGTTGCATTTACACTTGTTCAGGGGTAGGCAACCTATAGCACGCGTGCCGATTTTCAGTGGGGCTCACACTGCCCGGGTCCTGGCCACCGGTCCAGGGGGCTCTGCATTTTAATTTAATTTTAAATTAAGCTTCTTAAACATTTTGAAAACCTTATTTACTTTACATACAACAATAGTTTAGTTATACACCTCTATCTCGATATAACGCGACCAGATATAACACGAATTTGGATATAACACGGTAAAGCAGTGCTCGGGGGGGGGGGCTGCACACTCTGGTGGATCAAAGCAAGTTCAATATAATGCGGTTTCACCTATAACGCGGTAAGATTTTTGGCTTCCGAGGACAGAGTTGTATCGAGGTAGAGGTGTATATTATAGACTTATAGAAAGAGTCCTTCTAAAACCATTAAAATGTATTACTGGAATGCGAAACCTTAAATTAGAGTGAATAAATGAAGACTTGGCACACCACTTCTGAAAGGTTGCCGACCCCTACACTAGTTCCTAAATCACTTTCGTTAATTCTAATAGTCTTGTTTGCAGAAGTCAGAGGAGCTGCCATCACTTAAAACCATAGCATAGTTCAAGAAAGCTATAATTCAGAAGTTTATGGAAGTCTTTTCAAAACCTAGTATGATTCTAAACCCTCATTACTGTAAAGTGGATATGGCATTAATTTTAGTCATATGTTTGAGGCAGTTGTCCAGAAAAAATGATATTGGCCATAGAAATGTACAGTGTATGCTTCCCTTACTTGTCACACAATCTGAGAATAATGCAGAATACCTGGGGCCTGGTATTTGGAATGTGATATTAACATGTCCTGGAATCCTTTAGGACCTTAATGTCTTTCCAGATCTATATGTCAGACATCTGACTTGAAATTCATAATACATATTGAGAATTTTCCTATCTGATTGATTTCCTGAAATCTTTCATTTTTGTCAGAATTTCCCATCCTCCTTTAGTTCTTGCCAAACCTTGTTCTCCCATTTTTGCACCCTCTTGTGTTAAACTTTTGAAATCCTGAAGCTCTTGATTTGTTCTCATAAATTTCTCCTTTTAAGAATTTAAATGATATGGTTCACATTCAGATGTGGTGTAGTGGATGCAACTTTGTTGAAATCAGTGGCAGTACACCTCCTTACCAGGCTTGAATTTGACCCCATCATCTTCAGAATGCTTTGCAAATACTAACAGCTCCTCACACATTCCTGTGAGCTAGGCAAAGATTTATCTCCGTAGTTTTTACTGTTGGCGAAAGCTGAAATAAACAGGTTAAATGTCTACCACCAGATCACAGAAAGGAGCTTTTATTAGAAGTTAGATTAGAACTCAGTAGTCCCTTGCTCCAGAAGTGTGCTCAGACCAGGATTTTTTGGCTCATAAAAGTCAGAAGCAGAATGTACACAGGAGAACGTATTAATGCTGTACAGGAATAATCACTTGGATTTGGGCTGTGAATTCAATGTAATGAGATTTTTGGTAAGTTTATGTCACAGTATGTCTGCTTTGATATATTTATTATACTTTCCCCACCATTCTCTTAAAAATGAAGGTCTACTTTGAAAGCATCAAACCCAGCTTCCTTTCTCTGTTTCATTGCGGGGCCTGTAAATGTTTCTTCTTCTTGGGCATTCCATTGTCAGTCTCCAAAGTTTTTTGTCATGTAGTCAAAGGTCTCCAGCAGAAAAGTGGGGTCTGGTTTTGTCCTTTGCAAGGTAGAACTAATTTTGAATATTACCATGAAACCAGCTCTAGCAGCGGGTAATAGGCATTGTATCTTTGATAGTGAAGAAGATATTTATTTCCCAAGTTCCACAGTTAAATATTTACTGTAAAGTGCAGACTGCCTTTAATCTGTGGAAAGTATTGAATTAGTATGTTTAGTCTTGCAGTCTGTGGGAATTTGGTTTTTTTTTTACTTATTTTTCATATTAGGCATAATGTGTAGGCTACTTCATAATAGTGCCAAGTTAAAGCAAGTAATTAAGCTCCTTTTTAAAGCTGAAATTCGTAATTTCACAACACTAGAAGAACAGTTGATAAAGTAAGAAGTACTAAGTCTGTTAACTGGCTCCAGGTTAAAACTTTTCTATTGTTGTTTACTCTAACCACTATCTTCTCTTCTAGACAATTGAGAGCTTTGCAGCTCAAGAAAAACAAATGGAAGTTTGTGAAGTCTGTGGAGCCTTTTTAATAGTAGGAGATGCACAGTCCAGGGTGGATGACCACTTGATGGGAAAACAGCACATGGGTTATGCCAAAATTAAAGCTACTGTAGAAGAATTAAAAGTGAGTATAACTTTTGTAATTTAAAGGTAAAGTGACATTCTTTCTATATAAACTATTTAAGAACCAAATCATTAGCAGAATCCTTACATACATAAACTTCGGTTCTCAAAATCCATTTGTTGGCAGCCAAGCATTGACAGATTTGAATTATTTAAAGGTGAAAGGTAATTTTAGCAGTGGCACTTAGGCTCCGAAGTGCCTAGGCCCCTTTTGAAAATGGGACTCAGACCCCTACATCACTTGTGTGCTTTTGAAAATTTTACCTAAAGTACAAAACAAAAAATGAAAATCAAATTAAGCCTGGATTTTTATGCTGAATTCCTCCACTAACGAGGCTGCTGAAGGTATTCAACACAACATGGTTTCAATTAACTTTTTAATGAAATTTTTCTTTTTTGGTGAAATGCTCTTGGTATATTTCCTGGTTCACACTGGGATATCCCAGTGTGCAGTATCCTGAATATTACAAATATACAAAGTATTCACTGGAATAAGTTAATTAAAACATTCTATGTTCATTCTTTTATGACAGCCCCCAGACAATTGCATACAGTTCTTCCCTATAGACAGAACAGAGTGTGACCAGCAAGCTCTTTTCAAATACATGAGATATCACTGCAAAAATATCTTGCGTCTACTCAGGGACACACTATAGTGAAACATTTGGAGTGATATAAAATAACTACAAGAAGGGAGTTTTCATACCTAACCATTTTTTATGTACAATATCCAATTTACAAGGATACCTGTTTGTGTGTTTTCACTTTAATGGAAATATGCTAATCCCATACAAACATAGAACTCCTGACATTAGCAGGGTGTTATCGGAAACTTGAAATCAATATAATGGCAAGCAATTGGGGATGCACCATGGAACGGTAGCCTTGAGTTGGCGTTAGGCTCCTGAGAACTGATGCTAAACTCTATTGCAACAAAGTTTATGAACTCCAACAGAGTTTAGCATCATCCTGGTGAAACTTAGAAGTGCCACTCAGCTGGAGGCTGAAATATGGGATATAACCAACTTTAGTTAGCTGTTTGGAGTTCAGAAAATTTGAGGATGCACTATTAAAATATTTTAAAATGAGATACCTAATTTTTCCATTCCCATAGGTTGGATGTTTTAGGAGGAATGAAAATTGGGTAGAATCCTAGAGTGATCAGTTAGGCCAGATCTACACCACAACTTACATCAGTATAACTACGTCGCTCACAGGTGTGAGAAATCTACATCCTGGAGCAATGCAGTTATACTGATCTAACCCCACAGTGTAGACAGCACTATGTCAATGGGAGGGCTTCTCTCATCGACATAGCTGCCACCTCTCAGAGAGTTGGATTAACTACGCTGATGGGAGAGCTGCTCCCATCAGTGTAGTAGCATCTTCACTGAAGCCCGACAGCAGCACAGTTTCACTGCTGCAGTGTTTTAGGTATAGACCTGCCCTTGTCTTGTGTTTTTTGTACTGTCGTTATAGTGTGTGTGTGTGTGTATGCTTTTACAAAAATAACTTTAAGAAAAGAAGTAACTTCAGAGGGATTTATGGTGACATCTTAAATGTATTAAAGGTAGATCTTAAGGTTTTTCTTGTCAGAACCACAAAATAATTATATTTACTCTATAACTTGGATCTCCTCCACAGATCCTCACTTATCATCCTTTTCTTTCTGCAAAGAATACTTTGTGGGGTCCCCAAGTCTTTTTTTAATCTTAAATATTGGGTACTGCCCAGGTGAATGAACCATCCTGATGAGCAAAAGACTTGTTCAGCTGACTTAGAAGCGCTATTAAGCAGGTTATGCTTTGGTTTGACGATTAAGTGTAACCCATTGAAATCTAATATGTCTCCTCGCCCTTTTATAGCGGTTTAATGATGCTGAATAGTTTCTTCTGAATAAATTTTATCTTCATTAAATCCTTGCTGTAAACACTTCTTTTTTGTAAGGAAAAGTTAAGAAAAAGAACTGAAGAACCTGAACGTGATGACAAGTTAAAAAAAGAGAAACAAGAGCGAGAAGAGAGAGAGAAAGAGAGGGAGCGTGAAAGAGAAGAGAGGGAGAGGAAGAGACGACGTGAGGAAGAAGAAAAGGAAAAAGAGAGGGCACGTGACAGAGAAAGACGTAAGAGGAGTCGTTCCCGTAGCAGACATTCAAGCAGAACATCTGACAGAAGATGCAGCAGATCACGGGACCACAAAAGATCAAGAAGCAGAGAGAGAAGGCGAAGCAGGTACCTTGATTAGGGACCATTGACTTTTCAAGTGAATTTATAGTGGTGTTCCATGCATGTAAGAACCTCTAAACTATATGATTTCAGGCTTCTGTACCTGTAAAGGAATGGTTGCTGTAAAGAATTTTGTTGGCCGATCAAGACAAGGACCTATGCTAACTTGATTGCTTTTCTCTGTTTTACTGTTTGTAACAACTTTTGAATACCACAGCCAGTTGATTCAAAAAATTCAGGGAATGTTCTAGACATCTCCTGTACCAACAGAAAAGAAATAAGAATTGTATGGAGAATGGGGGCACACAGAAGCCCGAGTATGGGGGAAGAATGTGGGACAAAGGTATGAGTAGAGTGGAATTGGTGGGGGGAGAGGTGGACTGAGCCCCTGGCATGGGATGGTGTTGCATGGACTGTTTGAAATAGAGGGATATGAGCGAGTAGCACAAAGGTTGCTTGTGGGAGAGAATGAAGGAACGCAAAGAGCCCCAGGTGTGTGTAATGTACTCAGCCTACTGATGCAACAAAAGCCTATGCATCCGAAGAAAAGTGGGCTGTAGTCCACGAAAGCTTATGCTCTAATAAAATTGTTAGTCTCTAAGGTGCCACAAGTACTCCTATTCTTTTAGCAAAAGCCTTGTGTACACTTACGGTGGTGTGACAATTACACACTCACTGATTTGTAGCTATGTGTGGCAGTGAAAGAGCTTTTCTCCACTGCCTCCCTCCTGCCAGAGCCTTTTTCGGTGTCAGAGAAAGCCTCTGGCAGTGAGACACTAAACTGCTAAAAATAGCAGTGTAAATGTAGGAGGCACTACTTGGGCATGCAGAGAGCTGCCATGTATGATATATGCCCTCAGGTTCAGATGTGTAGGCTGCTCTACTCCCCTCAACCGTGCCTCACTCTCTCCACTACTGTTTATACCTATGCCAGCTGGGCATGCAGTGGGTGTAATCTACATGCCGCTTAAGTGTAGATGTACCTAAAGTTTTGCCACCCTTTAGTGGTGTATAACTGCAAAATGTTTAGCCTTGTTTATGAAAACACTGAAGTTTCTCTGTATTTGTAGTTTTGGAACATAAGGAAGTACCATTATCTCCCTTTTACAGTTGGGAAACTGATGTACACAGAAGATACATGACTTGCTTGAGGTCATACCGGAAGTTTGTAGTAGAGCATAGCATTGAACCTAAGTCCTCCTAGTCCTGGGTTACACCATAACCACTGAACCAGGCTTCCTTTCTGATGTTCCTCTCAGTTGATCAGAAACTGCTAACTCTATAATGGAATCGGCTGAATTCTGTAGCTGTAGATGACAAATTTCTTTACATCACTTTGTATTGATACAGTACAAAAATAAAACAGGAGGAGGTGCATTGAAACCATTGAACAGAATATGACTTTGGACAGTTGATCTAAAAATATGGAATCAGTTAGAGGAAGCTCTAGAATCATCACTTGATGAAACTGCTCTTCTATCAGGTCCAATATAACCTCTCCAGAGGTGGACAGTTCTTGCTGTTTCAGAGGATGAATCAAAAGAGAAACTGCCATGTATTAAAACTCACCGCCATTTTGGAAGTGGATGAAAACATCGTGATTTTATATATGTTGATGATGTAAGCATGATAGTTGACATACACTTCCATCATAAAGTTTAAGTATTAATTTTTTTAAAGCTCTGATTTAAAAATCAGTATTAAAGCTTTTCCTGAGAATTGTTTCTTGTAGCTGTGGATGTTTGAAGAAGGCAGAGAAGGGTGGACAGAGAACTTGTAAAGTACTGAAAAATGTTCCTGGAAGGAAAGAGTTTATAAGAAAGACTTGATATTCCTCATAAATATTAAACCTTTTCTTATAAACCGGCATAAGAGCAGAATGGTAACCTAGTGGCAAATTAATGAAGATTTTTTATTTTGAGTTGTAAATGACAGCTGATATTTTCTCTCTTTCAACTACTTCTAAATGTAAGGAGCCGAGATCGACGAAGAAGCAGAAGCCATGATAGGTCAGAAAGAAAACATAGGTCTCGCAGTCGGGACAGGAGACGATCAAAAAGTCGAGATCGGAAATCATATAAGCACAGAAGCAAAAGCAGAGATCGAGAACAAGACAGGAAATCTAAAGAAAAAGGTTAGTTTATGTGAGATTTTAAGACATGCAGAACTGATGTTACCCCTGAGACCTGTCCTTTCAGTCAAGGACTGAAAGATCTCTTAGGATCCTTCAGAGATTTGTAAGCAGCCCGTATGTGTCGCTACTACATGACTTTGAGACACGCTTCCCTTTCTCTTCATATCCTCCTGCCTCCTTGAAAAATGTGTGTTTCGCCTACTTACCTAGTGTTGTAATTCTCAAAGAAAAGCACACTACTGTGCAGTTCCCAAGCATTTTAGCCCGTTGACACATGCTGGCTGTTTGGCTTTGGAAAACCCCACACATCATTCTAACTCTCTAAATATATTTGATTACATCTTCTACTGCTGCCCTTAGAAGCGAGTTCTCCTTATTACTCTTGGACACTTCTGTAAATCTTAACTAGCTTCCCTCGTTGGTATGTATTTTGTTTTGGTTTTTTTAGCTGGACAGTCTTATGACATCTTCATTTTCTGTCCACTTCAATCATATCCTCTTAATCTTCTTTGTCTAATAAACACAACCGTAGTTTTCCCTAACTTCTGAGACCTTTCAGCGTCGTGGCCTGCATCCGTACCATCTTAGGTTGTGATTCCATCAGATTTCATAAATGAAGCAAGATCTGGTATATACAGTATATGGGGAATCTCGAAGAAACACCAAATTGTTCCTCAGAATTGTTTTATGGCAATACATGCTACGTCAAGTAATACAGTGAATGTTTAGAAGGTGGCTCTCTTCCCTTTGAATCAGTACTGATCCAATGCTCCCAACACAGACTGTTGTTAGATTGGGCTATGCTGCCAGAGGTTCCATCATTCATAAAAGATGTAAAACTGGTCGTGACCACTTGTGAATATGAAAGATCCATAGTACTTTTCATAATACAAAGGTGTTAATTCCATATCCTGCTAAATTCCCATTTTTAATTTTCTCTGCAACTTCATTTGGATACACTTCCTGATCTAAACCGTTTTGGGTTGCTGTATGCTTTCAAACGGCTGGCACATTTCACAATAGAGATGGCTTCATTTCAGTGGTGGGTAAAATGATTAATATATATCTATAAAGTACTTGGAGATCCTCTGGGGTGAAAGGTGCTATATGAATGTGGATTATAGGTTAGCCTATTTGCCCTGCTCTAATTTTTCCCATTTCTTCAGTAGACTCTGGATTGGTTCTCAAAATATGGATAGCACTTCAGATGTTTTTTTGCCTGACCTTTTTTTTTTCCTAGGCCAGTATAACCTTTCTGTTGTATACTGTGATACATTTCATTATTTGGTTTCCTCTCCACTCTGTTCTGCTTAGTTGTAAGCATTCTGCAAGCTTGTATGCTTTGCTGCTTGCTTGTTCACTGTTGCACGTGGTCAGATCTAATGCTAGGCCTGTAATGCATACTTGCTTGTAACTTTTACCTCCTCATATGTCTTATTATTTCATTGACCTAGATTATAAAGCAGATTTTTGGTATTCAATTGGAGGAGCCCTCTTTAATCCTTCACTAATACTGTGTGTGTGTGTGTGTGTGTGTGTGTGTGTGTGCATACTTATAACTTTATACCGTAGTTGCTCAAATTGTTTCCATTATTGAGCTCTTAATTAGGTTTATAGCTTCATAATTATTTTCTTTATAGTTTTATAAATAGGGGTGTAGTGATTTCATTGAGTTAAATTTTCCTTCTGGTCATCTTTTTGTTTGCTACTTACTACCTCCTTCCCCCAGGACTGAGAACATACATAAGGACGGCTATACTGGGTCAGACCAAAGGTCCATCTAGCTCAGTATCCTGTCTTCCAACAGTGGCCAATGCCAGGTGCCCCAGAGGGAATGACATGAACAGGTAATCATCAAGTGATCCATTCCCAGTTGCCTATTCCCAGCTTCTGGTGAACAGAGGCTAGGGACACCATCCCTGCCCATCCTGGCTAATAGCCATTGATGGACCTATCCTCCATGAATTTATCTAGTTCTTTTTTGAACCCTATTATAGTCTTGGCCTTCACAACATCCTCTGGCAAAGAGTTCCACAGTTGACTGTGCGTTGTGTGAAGAAATACTTCCTTTTGTTTGTTTTAAACCTGTTGCCTATTAATTTCATTTGGTGACCCCTAGTTCTGGTGTTATGAGAAGGAGTAAATAACACTTCCTTATTTACTTTCTCCACACCAGTCATGATTTCATAGACCTCAATCATATCCCCCCTTAGGCATCTCTTTTCCAAGCTGAATGGTCTGAGTCTTATTAATCTCCCTCATATTGAAGGGACATGTCCAGTTCCAAAATATCTCTTTTTGAGATGGGGTGACCACTTCTGCACACAGTATTCAAGATGTGGACGTACCATGGATTTATATAAAGGCATTTTCTGTCATCTTATCTATCCCTTTCTTAATGGTTCCCAACAATCTGTTTGCTTTTTTGACTGCTGCTGCACATTGAGTGGATATTTTCAGAGAACTATCCACAATGACTCCAAGATCTTTCTTGAGTGGTAACAGCTAATTTAGCCCCATAATTTTATATGTATAGTTGGGATTATATTTTCCCAATGTGCATTACTTTGCATGTATCAACATTGAATTTCATCTGCCATTTTGTTTCCCAGTCACCCAGTTTTGAGAGATCCTTTTGTAGCTCTTTGCAGTCTGCTTGGGACTTAACTATCTTGAGTAGTTTTGTATCATCTGAAAATTTTGCCACCTCACTGTTTACCCCTTTTTCCAGATCATTTTATGAATATGTTGAATAGGACTGATCCAGTACAGACCTCTGGGGGACACCACTATTTACCTTTCTCCATTCTGAAAACTGACCCTTTATTCCTACCCTTTGTTTCCTATTTTTTAACCAGTTACCACTCCATGAGAGGACCTTCCCTCTTATCCCATGGCAGCTTGCTTTGCTTAAGAGCCTTTGGTGAGGGACCTTGTCAAGGTTTCTGAAAATCTAAGTACACTGTATCCACTGGATCCCCCTTGTCTACATGCTTGTTGACCCCCTCAAAAGAATTCTAGTTGGTTGGTGAGGCATGATTTCCCTTTACAAAAACCATGTTGACTCTTCCCTAACAAATTATGTTCATCTATCTGTCTGACAATTTTATTCTTTACTATAGTTTCAACCAGTTTGCCCGGTACTGAAGTCAAGCTTATCAGCCTGTAATTGCTGGGATCACCACTGGAGCGCTTTTTAAAAATTGGCGTCACATTAGCTATCCTCCAGTCATTTGGTACAGAAGTGAATTTAAATGATAGGTTACATACTACAGTTAGTAGTTCTGCGATTTCACATTTGAGTTCCTTCAGAACTCTTGGGTAATACCAGCTGGTCCTAGTGACTTATTACTCTGTTTAGTTTATTGATTTGTTCCAAAACCACCTCTAATAACACCTAAATCTGGAACAGTTCTTCAGATTTGTCACATAAAAAGAATAGCTCAGGTTTTGGAATCTCCCTCACATGCTCAGCCGTGAAGACCGATGCAAAGAATTTATTTAGTTTCTCTGCAATGGCCTTATCGTCCCTGCGTGCTCCTTTAGCATCACGATCATCCAGTGGCCCCTCTGATTGTTTAGAAGGCTTCCTATTTCAGATGTATTTAATTTAAAAAATTTTTGCTATTACTTTTTGAATCTTTGGCTAGCTGTTCTTCACATTCTTTTTTGGCCTTCACTTGCCAGACTTTATGCTCCTTCCTATTTTCCTCACTAGGATTTAACTTCCACTTTTTAAAGGATGCCTTTTTGCCTCTCACTGCTTCATTTACTTCGTTGTTTAGCCATGGTGGCACGTTTTTGGTTCTCTTACAATGTTTTTTAATTTGGGGTATGCATTTAAGTTGAGCCTCTATTATGGTGTCTTTAAAAAGTTTCCATGCAGCTTGCAGGGATTTCACTTTTGGAGCTATACTTTTTAATTTCTGTTTAACTAACCTCCTCATTTTTGTGTAGTTCCCCTTTCTGAAATGAAATGCTACAGTGTTGGGCTGTTGTGGTGTTTTCGCTGCCACAGAGATGTTAAATTTAATTATATTATGCTCACTATTATCAAGCAGTCCAGCTATATTCATTTCTTGGACCAGATCCTGTGCTCCACTTAGGACTAAATCAAGAATTGCCTCTCCTCTTATGGATTCCAGGACTAGCTGCTCCAAGAAGCAGTCCTTTAAGGTGCCAAGAAACTTTATCTCTGCATCCCATCCTGAGGTGACACGTACCCAGTCAATATGGGGATAGTTGAAATCCCCCATTATTATTGAGTTTTTTATTTTAATAGCCTTTCTAATTTCTCTGAGCATTTCACAGTCACTATCATCATCCTGGTCAGGTGGTCGGTAATATATCCTACTGCTATATTCTTCTTATTAGAGCATGGAATTACTATCCATAAAGACTCTGTGGTACAGTTCGGTTCATTTACAATTTTTACTTCATTTGATTCTATGCTATATTTCTGCCACTCCCCCACCGGCATGACCTGTTCTGTCCTTCTGATCTATTTTGTACCCTGGTATTACTGTGTCCCATTGATTATTCTCATTCCACCAAGTTTCTGTGATGCCTATTATATCAATATCCTCATTTAATATGAAGCACACTAGTTCACCCATCTTATTATGTAGACTTCTAGCATTTGTATATAAGCATTTTAAAAACTTGTCACTTTTTAGCTGTCTGCCATTACATAATGTAATTGAATGGGACTTTTTTTCATTTGACTTTCTCATCAGATCTTACACTTATTTTATCATTTTCCATTCTCTCCTCCTTACTAGGATATGGAGAATCTCCATTTATAGATCCTCCCATAAGGGATGTCTCTGTCTGAACCACATGCTCCTCCACACCTGTTGGCTTTCTCCCAGCCCTTAGTTTAAAAACTGCTCTATGACCTTGTTAATTTTAAGTGCCAGCAATCTGGTTCCATTTTGGTTTAGGTGGAGCCCATCCTTGCAGTATAGGCTCCCCCTTTCCCAAAAGTTTCCCCAGTTCCTAATAAATCTAAACCCCTCCTCCCTACACCATTGTCTCATCCACGCATTGAGACCCTGCAGTTCTGCCTGTCTAACCAGCTCTGCATGTGGAACTGGAAGCATTTCAGAGAATGCTACCATGGAGGCCCTGCACTTCAATACCTAGCAGCTTAAATTTGGCCTCCAGGACCTCTCTCCTAACCTTCCCTATGTCATTGATACCTATGTATACCATGACCACCAGCTCCTCCCCGGCACTACAAGGTCTTTTCAGCTCCTGGTAACCTTAGAAGTGTAATACTAGATTTGGGGAAATAAATGATCTGTTCAGTAAACCATCATAGTATTAATAAATAGCATAGGGCTGTGGAACAGGGCTATGATGCACATTTTTCCAGTAGAGGGATACATGCACTCTAAAATCTAGAATGAATTCTGCATTCACTGCAGAGAGCAGGGAAGTTTATTTTGCTGGGAGGTAAAATGTTTCTAAATTTTACTCCACCCCATTTTGCGAGACTTAAATTACATGGATAGGGCACATCAGTATTTAGCTTTGAAGGTCCAAGCAACAGAGTTGCAATAAATAGAGACACTGTTAATGTGATTTCAACTGTGAGTGCTCATTTCTTGGGCCCAGAAGCAACGCTCCATCGTCTGCAGCTGCTCCACAATTGCCACCTTTTTTGATGTCCCTTAACAATCTGTCCTTGAAGAAATCGTCATGTCGTTGTTGTTTCTTCCTGCGGGCTTGCAAATACCAGAGGATCATGCATCCTGTATTTGCAACATTCATGAGCACAGTGCAGAGCTATGCAGTCTTGGTGCCATGTTGGATTGTGGGATTTTTTTTAAAGGTGTGAAAATTAAGGGATGTGGATAGCATTGTGGGATGCCAAATGTTGCATCTCATAGGGAACTTGACCCCTAGCTCCCAGAGATCCCTGCACAACTCATTCCACAACACCTTGTGAAAATTTGCCAAAAGGCATTATGCTGGATGGTGGCACATGACACAGTGGAATACCTACCCATGGTGCATCACACTTTGCATTGACACAAGCTCTCCTGGTGAGGATGCACAGCATTGATGCAAGCAACTAAGTATGCACACGTAGGAGCAATATAGAAACTTCAGCAGCTGTACGCCAACACAGCTTTCGTCAACCAAAGGTTTTAGCGTAGACATGGCTTTAGTCTACTTTGTGTGCATGCACAGTGTGTGTTTTGGATGCTAAGACTCCTGCCATTTGAATTCTTGCTTTTTTTGTGACTTTACAGTAGTTTTCATAGTTACTGTGGGTCAGGATTTTAAAGTGAGCAGCAAGGGTTGGCTGAAAATAATACTTTATATGGTGCCTTTCATCTTGAAATCTCAAATTCCTTTACAAACATGAATTAAACCCCCATGCCACTGATGGTTTTTGAAGCTGCAAATATTCACCCAGAAATATTTGTGCATTCATTCAGTCAAGAAACAACCAATATTAGGTGATCTTACCTGATGAATCACAACTAATCAACATAAATCATATAGGGAGCCTATAAAAATCTACAGAGAACTATTTGTGATTTATCCAAAATAATAAATACAATGTTGTGAGATAATTTTGAATAACTGTGTTGAAGGAACTTCCTTTACTGTCTGCTTGCAGATATCACTGGTGCTGAAGGAAGCTAAATTCATTACAGATTAATTGTTACAAATATTTGCTCAGTTCTAGTTAGCAAACTCCAGGAGCTATGATGTAATTTTCTTGTTCTTCAGGTCCTCAAAGACGGGGGTTCTTTGTATAGCTTCATCTTTCGTACCACAGGTTAATGTTTATATCTTCTGAAAAAGTTCTCTTTCCTATCTATCCAAACGCAAAAAACTGCACACTCTGCACATCCATAGGGCTGTTATCTATCATACCTACATAGGATAGAAGATCAGTTTATTGGACTGACTAGTAGTCCACTGCAGGGAAACAAGACTTCTGTTCCTCAGTGGAGCTATGTGTGCATCGGCGATACCTATAAGGCACAAAGAGAAGACTTTGCAACAAGGTCATTTAGAGTGTAATCCACCTGATTTACAATAGCTACAATACTGAGGGCAGACAGATACGCAACACTATCAGAAGACTTCTCCAGTTACCTATTTGGACATCACTAAATGCTTTTTCCAAGCACTATAGGCAGGATGTGCTTCTTCAGTTCCAGTGTTTTTTAGGCAGTTGTCCTGCCTCTTGTGGGTTTGATTTTGGCCGTTTTCCTTGCTGTTTGGTGGTCTGTCCTAATAAAACTGTTGTGCAGACTTTCTCTGTGTAGATATACTAATTCTTTCTTCAAACTTAGCTTTTTCACTTATGTCTTTTAAAGTGTAGAATTGCTATGCCAATCCAGATGTGCCACCTTGCAAATAGCTTTCTTGGATGTTTTTAACTTGTTTTATGTATTTGGTTCTCAGCTGCTTGCATATTAATCCATCTGAGGGACAGTCAATGTTCTTGTCTGTATACTGACGTCTCAAGAACTTGTTTTTTCAGTCTCCACCTATTGGGCAGAAGGTTGGCCCTGTGGTTTGAAGTGATACAGGATAAACTAGTATGTTTTGTTTTTAAATTTACTCATTATTCAGTTTACAGACAATACGGATTTTAAACTGTAAATGTGTGAATTTTTTTCCCCTACTGGAAAACTTTGCTGCTTCCGTTACATTTTCTTCACTCTACCTTATGATTGTAGAGGAAAAGAAAATACCAGTTTTTCAGCAAATATCCAATTCTTTATTCACCATTCACCCTCCTAGTTCTTGAAAAAACTGGGGTCCCATCAATCTGTTGCTCATTTGTTTTGTAAAATAGTGCCTTTATATCTCTAGCAGTCTTTCTTCCCCAATCTTTTATCATTTAAAGATGAAGGTTTAATAACATATCTCAGAGAAGCATCATTACATTTTGTCCTGTTGAAGTTGACTTTGGTATTCCCTTTGATTCTTATTTTAAACCTAGCTAAGTTTTATGTTTGCTTGTTTTTCCTGGATGTTCATTTATTTTCTTCCCTCTGTAACAATGGTTAATAACAGACTGAATAGCAATGCCTTATTATCCCTTCATTCTTTTTGGTTCCCTTTTCAAGAACCAAGTTTAATAACCAGTGCGTAGCCTCCCTTGGCACACGTATCACACACACACAAAATCTATTCAGAGCATAACACTGAATCCAGTGGTAAAGCACTCATGAAGCACATCCACATAAATCACTGTTGGTTACACTTTTCCCCAATTTCTATATCTCAAGGTAAAGTTGAGTAATTGTCACACTACTGCTATGCTGTCCTTCCTCCTTTTCACCACTTTTAATTTTGCTTCTTTTTATTTTGCCCTGTTACTCTAAAGCCTATGCCTATAACTGTGACTTTGTTACTGTTTCCAATTTGAGATAGTCCCGCCTCCTGTGTTCCACTCCTCACATGTGCAATGTGTTTTACTTTGAAATCCATGGTTAATGTCTTCTTTCATGGCAGAAAAGAGGGCATCTGATGATAAAAAAAGTAGTATGAAGTCCAGTAGTCGAGAAAAACAGAGTGAAGACAGAAATACAGACTCGAAGGACAGTGATACTAAGAATGAGGTCAATGGGACCAATGAAGACATTAAATCTGAAGGTGACACTCAGTCCAATTAAAACTGATCTGATATGACCTCAGATCAGACAGAGGTAAGTGCATTATTTCAAACTTTGATTAGGGCTTTTTGTTACTGTTTAACAGTGCAGCGTAAGTATGCACAGATGAAGATGGAGCTAAATCAAGTAAGAAGACATACTAAAGCACCTTCTGAAGGAAAAGACAGTGTAGTCCTGCAAAACATTTTGAGGTACATTGTTTTGTCTCAGCTATTTTGTAGCAGACTCATGCCCCCATTAGTGTGCCTCTTTGGAACATATTTGTAATATAGTCTCCATAGAAAATTTAATTATCCTTTTTTTTTATTTTTAGGGATTTTGTCGTTTTTTTTAAAAATTGAACTGTTTTTGTATTTAAGTCCATATTGTGTTGGTACATCAGCAGAAACATTTGCTTTAATACTTAATATTTCTGAGGCACATGTTGGACTACTTTGTTTTTATATAAACTGCTAGTATTTCTTTGTCAAGGATGTTTCTAGTTTTTTTTTGCTTTATTGCCTTGCATTCTAATGCAGTTTGTTCTGTAACTCGAGAGCCAGTAGCATTGGATTGATGGAAGTGTAGGGTTTATGAATTATTGCAGCTGACTACCATACCTCACACAGCGTTGGTGTTGTGAGCGGCCCATGAAAAGCCAAATTAAAAATCAAGGATTCAGTCAAACTAAGCAGGTACTCATGCCAGGTACTCCTTTCTCTACCCACATCCATGTTTGAATGCTGTTGCCTGTAATCTTTAAGCTTACTGTTGTGTTTTTATTTACAAGAAAGTGAAAAGGATTTTTTGTGTATTGTGTGAAAACTATAAATCTGATGTTAACAGAATGGAATTTTCTTTCAACTGTGTGTAGGGATGCAGTGCTGCCCAGAATTAGATATCTTTAAGAGTTTTAAATGCAATAAATACTACATAATAATCGCCTTGTTACATTCAATGCAATTCAAGTCTTTAAGAGGTATGTGTTTAATATTTCCTACTGTGTAGGAGAATTTGCAGTCAGCCATAGTACAGAGCAGTATAATGGCTGATTCCAGACTTGTAAGGCAAATGTAAATACAAAGGCTGATGCCTAAAATTTTTAATAGTACATGGCAAGGATGTATGCTGACAATTCTCATTATTATGAAACTAAACGTTAGGAAATATATATATTAAAAAACTTTAAAAGTTTTTCCATTCTTGACCTAATTTAAGCGTACAGAAACGGTTGTTGTATTCCTAAAATAAGGAGCGAACGTTGGAGAAGACAGCTGATAAATTAGCTGTTTGCAATATAAACTATTAGTATAGTTTCAGTATTTACGCTATGAACTCTTAAACACTTAAGGGTTGATCATTAGACCATTAAGATTGCATTATTGCTCTGGAACCCCTAATTTTCAATATTGAAGTTTTAGTAGAGTAAGATGACAGCTAAGAACTGGGCCAATATTTAGAAATGGCAAACTAACCTTGCTTTACATTGTCTAATTGTTTGCTTTCCCAAAATTTTGCATTATAGGACTACCACGTGAAGAATCTGCGAAGAATCCGGAAGACAGCTTGCAATGAAGATCTGCTTTAAATGAGGTGAAAGAAAGCTGTAGTGGCATAGAAAAATATAAAGTTCAGTTAGAATTTTTTTTATAAAATTAATTCAGGACTGTTGTTACCTCCCAGAGTGCAGAGGGATGAGTTAATAGCATACATGCCACTGAGAATATAAGTCCTGTATCATTTTTTTTCTTTAAGACTTTTTAAGATAAGAAACAAACATAACATGAACCCATGGCTTGCTCAGTGTTTATTTGCAAGATTTCATTCTTGGACTTCGAAACACAAGAATAAATGTTTAGTATTTGTGTGAATTAAACTAAATTGAATCCCATTTTTACAACTAGGATATATCTAGCTGCTTGATATACCAGAAATGGAAATAAAGTATCTTTGAATTTCTGTTGCAAATTTGATTGTCTGTCATTAAACATTTAGTATTAAATACACTTTTTTCGTAATAAATCTATTCATGTCTTCAAGCTTAGTCCATTAATTTGGCTTCTATGGATTTTGTTTAGTTTATTCAGTTGGTGTTTGCTTTTGATTCCTCCAATTAGTCTCATGTTTTAAAACTGAGCTGATCACCTTCATCACCTGGTCCTTTATTGAACAGATGCACATTATCATCACAAGTGGCGTGATTTTTGCTGCAGTGTATTTTTCTTAGCAGTCAAACACAGAATCACAGAACAAAGATACTGCTGCAATTCTCCCTCTAATAAGGTTCATATCCAATATTTTTGGAAAGTCTTTGAATTTTCCTCTTAATGCACCAAGTCTTAATGCCAGCCCTTCATAGTAAAAAAAAATGGAGATTAGAACACAAATCTAGGTTTTATTTTACCAAAACTGGGTGATATGGAATAGGATCAATGAGGAACTCAGGCTGGGACCTGTCTTTCTCTCATCCTGTTTTGGTCAAGTAAAATCCTAGAATTTCTTCAAATTTTTAGAGCAGTGTCAAATAGAGATGTTGGTGCAGATGTTTGTTCTAGTATAAGGCACCATACTGACTTCAGACTTGCATCCTGCTAGCAGTTAAAAATACGTCATTAGAGAGTGGTTATAATTTAGCAAGTGCATGTAATTTGTATATTAAAGCAATTGTAAACGTGTTCATTTCATTCCCCTCGTCCTCAGCTTTTTTGTGATACTTTTATTGTATTAAAGGGTAGTTTAACGGGTTAAATAATGAGGGTGCTTTTTGAAAGAAATGTGTTTAAAGGAAACATTTTGCTGCATTACACTCTTCAAAATGAAGTGACAAGAAGGTAACACCGATTTATGAAGGAATGATAAATGTTCTTATTAAAACCTGTGGCTTGAGAGAAGTTAATACGGTGCCTTTTCCTTTCAGCAGTTTCAGCTGACTTCATACCTTTTAAAGCATGTTCCATCTCATCTTGAAAACGGAGAAGTCACAAAAATGATTTTTTTATTTGGTGAAATGGTAAAAAATGGAATTCTGGTTGCATGTGATGTGTACACTGCATTTTGATTCTGTGGCTCAAATCTTACTAAAGCAGTGTCTCTTCATATTGATATTTGCCCTTGTGCATACAGATAAGAGTCTTCTATAGTAAACATTGTTTCAAAAGGCAGGAAAGAATCTCACACATTTGAGTGCTATATGCAGTTGCACACACAAGTGATAATTAGAGACATTTAAACTTTAATTATCTATCTTAGCATTAATGTCAAAGGGACTTTCTCTGTCCTTAGAAATTGGAGATCTTGTTCAAGTTGAAAATGTCATTGATATGTGATCTGTAGGTATTGGTCACTGTAGTTGAAACTGTAGAGATTATGCTCCAATCTGTAAAGTTGGCCACCCCGATCTAATATTTTCTAAAATACTAGTCAAGAAAAGGCAGGTTAACCAGCTTAACCTGCTAACGTACAAGTTAAAACACATCAGTTAGGCCATTATCCTGAGTAGAACAAGAAACTCATTGAGAACTATATTCTTATAAAAGGTGAATTCGATTGCACGACGCAAACTCAGTGTTCTGGAGGATGTCACTGAAATTATGTAAAGTTTGCTGAATGCCTGATTTCTAAGTTTGAGGTTGCCATTAAAGGGGATGTAGCTTTTCTAAGTCATTGTGATCTATACTAAGGAAAAATTGATAAGAAAAATGCACAATAAAAACATGTTTTTTCAGTAACATCTTTCAGATTCTGATAAACTTCCAAACAGGTAGTCCAACTGCTACAGGTCCAGTTCTCTAAAGAACAAGGCAGAAGCTGGGCATTTTTCCAGTTCAATTGTAGGAATTGTATAAACCTTAACTTAAAAGCTCTTAAGGGTTGCTGTGAAGAAGTGGCCTTTAACCTCTGCAGAGGTCTATTTGCCTGGTACTGAAATTATCAGACACATAGATGAACATGATTTGTTGGCACAAGTCAGTGTGATATTTGTAAAGGGAAATCATGACTCAGCAATCTGTTAATCACCTCAAAGAATGTAATAAACATGGATGTGGGTGATCTAGCACTGTGGTTCTCAACCTTCCCAGACTACTGTACCTCTTTCATGAGTCAGATTGTCTTATGTACTCCCAAGTTTCACCTCATTTAAAAACTATTTGCTTACAGAATCAGACATAAAAATACTTGTGTGTCACAGCACACTATTACTGAAAAATTGTTGACTTTCTCATTTTGTCTATATGAAATTTTAGTTTGTACTGACTTAGCTAGTGCTTTTTATGTAGCCTGTTGTAAAACTAGGCAAGTATCTAGATGAGTTGATGTACCCCCCTAGAAAACCTCTGTGTACCTCTGGGATACACAGACCCTTGGTTGAGAACCACTGATCTAGTGGATGCAGTGTAGTTGGACATGCAGAAAGCCTGTGAGAAGGTCTCTCACCAAAAGCTCTTAAGCCAAGTAAGCAATCATGGGATAAGAGGGGTGTGCTCGTGGATCAGTAAAAGACAGCAACCAAATTTAGGAATAAATGGTCAGTTTTCATAATGGAGAGTAGTGACATACCCACCCCTGACTACTGGGATCTGTGGTATTCAACATACTCAAATGAGCTGGAAAACAGTGAGGTGACAGAATTTGTAGATACAAAATTACTCAAGATCAAAGCAGCCTGAAAAATTACAAAGAGCTCTCAAAACTCAGTGATTATGCAACAACATGGCTGGTGAAATTCCATGTTAAGTAATGTACATTGGAAAACAGATCCCATCATTTTGTATGTATAGATGGGATTATAATTTAGCTCTTACCACTTAAAAAGAGTGTGGAGTCATTGTGGCTAGTTCTCTGAAAACATCTGCTCAAAGTGCAGCAGCAGTCAAAAAAGCTAAATCTTAGGAACCATTAGGAAAAGAATAAATAAGACAATAGCAGGATGCCACTATAGAAGTCAATGGTATGTCCACACCCTGAATCCTGCATGCAGTTTTGGTTGCTCCATCTCAAAGATATGTGGAATTTAGAAAAGAGAGAGGCTGGAACCAAAAATGATTAAGGTATGAGCTCAGCTTCCATATGAGGAGAGATTAAAAGACTGGAACAAAGGTCTATACAATCATGACCAGTGTGGAGAAAGTGTTATTTACCCCTTCACTTAACACAAGACCCAGCATGGGGGATGTGTCACCCAATGAAATTAATAGCAGGTTTAAAAGGAAGTACATCTTTGCACAGCAGAACATGGTGTGAAAGGCCAAGAAGAACTAGATAAGTTCATGGCAGATAGATCCATCAATGGCTATGAACTAAGATGGTCAGGGAGGCAACACCCATGCTCTCGCTGTTCTTAGCCTCTGATTGCCAGAAGCTAGATCACACAATGAGTGCCTGTTCTGGTCAGTCTCTTCGATGCATCTGGCATTGGCCACTAGACTACTGGGACCATGAGTCTGACCCAGCATGGCTATTCTTAGGGCCTGGAGGCTGAGTTAAGCTACTTAAAGCCTTTTTAATCCTATTTTTGAAGCCTTAGCTGGCCATTCTTTCTGCAACTTATTTACCATTCCTGACCCTCTTTCTACATTAGCGTTGTGTTCTTTTACAAAGGCAAATGTCACTTGTTTAGCAATCTGCATTTTTACACCCCCTTAGCTGAATTGGGCACAAATCCGCTCTTCTAGAAAGCAAGAAAGCTCAGCTGCTGGCTGTTTGACTAGCTAATACCGTATACTAAAGACAAGCCTCTTTCCTCTCAGCTGCTCTCACACCTGACCTCACATGCTTGATGGTAAATACTCATTATTAATTGACTTTGGAGGTGCTGCCTTTAGGAACTGAAGTTTAGGACTAAAAACAAAATTTAAAAGAAATCTGCAAGCTTTAAACGTAGCCCTGTCATTTCAAGACAAGTTGGTAAGGCCAAAAAAAGTCCCTGGAAGAAGTTGAAACTCTTTTCCCACTGACATCTTTATTATTATATGAACACAAATAAATTCACCATTACCATAGTTAGTGTGCTTTAAATGTTATCAAACTTCATAAAACATACAAAAATATTTCTCTGAATGCATAGATTTGCTCAGTTACTAGCACTATATTTTTAGTCATTAGTGCTTTAGCAAAAGTTGTGTTGCATATCAAGTTAACAGTTAGTAGTTGTGAATTAGAGGAAATAAAGCTTATTAATCGCTTCCGTTAGTTCCTGGACAACTCTGTTACATTGTTTATGTAAAAGTGACAATGTCCTACATGCATTAAACCCTAGGCTCTGCAAAGCTAGATGTGAATACTCTTAATTTTGAGCTACATAGCTACTGTTTTTTTCCAAACAGTTTAGCATTCACTTTGAAATAACCCTTGCACTACAGTGGCAAGTGTGTAGGTCAAATCCCCACCACAGGGAGAATCAGGTTTGACTAAGTACTGATGTCAGTAGGGGCCTTCAGTGCTTGTCCAGCCACTGTATGGACAGAACAGGGGAGAGTACTGGCTGAGTGGATTAGATGGCAGAAGGATTAGACCACAGATGCATATCGCTGGAGGCTTTCATTGGTGGAGTGTTAGTTGGAATAGGGAAAGGACCTAGACTGCAGTAATCAATTTTGAACCAATTAAACATCTCAGTGATCAAAAGGAAAGTGTTAGTAACTTTCTCATCTTTATATTTTGGATTTTATCTGTCATGTTGCAAAACAATTTGCCACATTCTATTATTGTCTAGTCAAATTCAGAAATGTCTACTTAATATAAACCAATGTGTGCCATCAGTTGTACAGCATGTGAAAACATGTTGGTCAAAAAGAACAGCAGCTACTGCAAGGGGAAGCTATCCCCTATGCAATGTATTACACTAAATCATTTCCAATATTACACACTGCAATCCACATTAAAAAAAATCCCTAGTATTGTATCAAGATCTTCTTGGGGTAGTAGTGCAGGAAGAAGCTATTTGAAGGCAGCTGCTCTAGTATAGCTTAATAAAGAAATAGAGTTGGAGATGGACTCAATATTAGATCGCTTATAAATTAGGTTACGTTTTTAATTGAAA